ATGATGCTGGTGGTGGTGGTCCTGTAGTCTGTGATGTGCTGCAGGCCTTGCCACATCCGTCCGGAGTCAGCAGTAGAACAGAAGCCATTCAGCTTCCCTCTGTACTGCCTCTTGGCCGCTGTGATGGCTTTCCTCAGTCTGTACTTTGCAGCTTTGTGCTCCATCTCATTGCCTGATCAGAATGCATGAGAGCGAGCACGCAGCATGTGGCGTACCTGACTGTTTATCCAGGATTTCTGGTTGGGGAACCTCCTGACTTGTATGGTGGGTACAATGTTGTCAATACAGGTACTAATGTATCCGGTCACATGCTCAGCATAATCCTGCACGCTGACAGAAAAGTCCTCCGAGGTGGCTGCAGCTTTAAACACATCCCAGTCTGTCTGGGTGAAACAGTCCTGCAGGGTGCCTTCAGTCTCTGGGGTCCAGAGTTTATTAGGTCATTATAGGAAATATTAATACTGGTCAAACCACGATTGTGAAAATGTAGCTATATATTATACCTGATGTGCCGTCACATCACATCACATCCCAGGGTGTTTTCACTCCTGTCTTGTTTATTGTTTGACTTAGTAGTTGTTTCTACTTTTAAAAAAAGATGTTTTCTTACCTAAAAATATTTAAAGTGTTTAGAAACATTTTAAAATGTGTATTCATTTTTTGCAAATACGGTCCAAAAGGACCAAAAGAAAATGCTATGTTGGAAAATATGTTGTCTCTTTCAGTTTTGTGTGTCCATTAGCTTTGTAAAGCGCTGCAGCTGAGCTCATGAGGCCAGATGATGATCACTGTCCAGCTGAAGTCAAGTTCACTGAGTGGTACTATTTCAGCTGCTGTCTATGTTTAGAATATGAAGGCAAGATCTGCACTTTCACTTTGTGTGTGTGTGTGTGTGTCTCCATTGTCATGGCCACAACAAAGGGAGCATGACATAAAGAGAGACAAAAAGTGGAAGATAGTCAATGCATACGTATTTGAGAACATCAGCCAGCTCGCTGGCACATGCCCTGAGAGCCCTCCCAGGGATGTTGTCTGGTCCTGCCGCTTTGTGGGGGTTGATCTTCCTCAGGACTGTGTGTTCCTGGTGAGACAGTTAATGGAGGGGAGGGGGGGGGGTGGGTAGTGTGTGGGTGCCTCCTCTCTGTGCTGTGGCTGGAGGTCTCAAAGCGGGTGTAGAAGGTGTTGAGGTCATCCGGCAGGCTGTCTGTGGAGCTGATGATGCTGCATATGCCTGAGAGAGGCTGGAGTGAGGACGAGACGGTGAATTCAGGACAGACAGGGAGGTGGAATTGGAAAGGAGGTGTGCTCTCAGGATTAATTAGGGTGGGCTAGAAAATGGATAGCATCCCGGCAGATGTGTGAGGGCAACTGGGGTTTCACGATGTATAGAGAAACACAAAGGATGGCCAGCCATTTTGGATAACGGCATTAAATATGCCCAACACTCCCTCTCTCCCACCATCATGCAGATCCCACTGAGAGTTTCAGTCCTTTTCTCACATTTTATGTGACTATCAGCACTGGTATTTTTCCCACAGTGAGGATGTTAAATCTGGCTCACTTAGTGACATTCTTTCCAAAATGTGTTGACAGAAACCGGATCTCAATTATCGCATTAAATATAGGATTAACACTTGTCCTTGGTTGAACCTAATAGTAAAGCACTAAGTTTCTATTTAATAGCAGTCGCTCAAGATGCATATGTAGTAAGATGTAGTAGCAGCTGTGGTTGTCTCAGTGACGGTTCCAGATAAGGACAATGGGATTTGGTGGGAAAACCTACAGAATGATGAACGTGCACAGATATCCTGTAGGTGTACTTTAAAGTAAACATACAATTTAACAAATGTGAAGATATTCTGTAGGTTTTAAGTGAAAAATGAATATACAAGTGGGTTTAAATGTTTATAAACTCTTTCTATTCAGTAGCTCCTACCTAACATCCTTATTCTTTCTTGATCAAACTGTCACAGTACACTTCACTAGAATTGCCCTGGAAAAACCTGTCTCCAGGTCACACCTCAGGAAATCATGACAAAATGAAAGGACCTAAAAATAATCACCACTAATTAAAATATTATATATAAAATGATAAGATATTATAATATTTAGGTCATTTCTTCTGAGTACTTGAGTCAGTTTTTATGTATATTTTATGGTCGTACTTTTTTCTTGTGTTTTAGTGACATTGTTCAAGCATTGTTGTCCATCCTCAGCTACATGACTCAGTATTTAGCTTTGCCCAAAATATAATGTTCAGTTTTATGAGTGTGGCTGACACACACGTCGGGCTAGCTACGTTTAGTGGCAGCCCAAGCTGTGGTCAGATGGATGAAAACCCCCCCCAAACAGACTGCAAAAACAAGAAATTCAAGGTCAACAGAATCAGTGATCAATACAGAGTGAGGATCAACTGATAAACAGCCAGCTGAGGATACTAACAGTTTCAAACATGGGGGTGGGACAGCTGAAAAGACAAAGGGGTGGAGAGCTGTGCCCCCTGAGATAAATGAAATCGCTGTCACTTCTGTTGTTTCCTGCATGGGCTAGTTTTGGCTCACATGGTTCTAATGGTCAGAGTGGTCTGACCGATCCCTGATTGCAGTGATGGATGTGTCCTTGTTTTAATGGTCATCTTGTTAATGCTGGGTTGTGGGGTGGGGGTTTCATAGTGTCTGAGGTCAGTAGATCAATGACATGCTGAGCAGTAGTTGCAGTGTGGGGGGGACTTTAGGACTTAAGGATCCCTGCCTGTATGCTAGCGAGACTGTCCTCTGTAAAAATCAAGTCCATAGGTTGCTTATGCCGGCAGTTTATTCCAACCAACAGTGATGTGCTATTGTTTGGTCATCTTTTCCTAACCCTAGCCAAGTTGTTTCTGTGCCTAAACTCAACTAAATTGTGACAGTTCCACAATCGTCACCATGCCCTTATGATTTCTATGATTAGCTTGTGGTGAAGTACAGATCAGGACGAGGTCAAGCAGTTTCTAAAGTGTTGAGGGTTCCCACAAACACAGTGGCCAGCAGGACTCTTCCTAAAGTCGGTCATCTGAACAAAGAACCAGGTGCTTTGTTCAGAGAGGTGACCAAGAACCCATCAGTCCCTCTAACACAGCTTCACAAGTTCTCTGCAGAGATGAAAACCTGAATCAGAATCGGAAATGGAATCAGCTTTATCGGCCAGGTGTGTTGCACACATGAGGAATCCGACTGGTACAGTGGCTCAGTGTGCATGTTCTTCTGTACAGCAGCGAGTGGACAAGCAAACAAGATAAGACTGAGAGAACAAGAAATGACAAAGAATGTGCAAACGAAAAAAGGAACGTAGAAAATAAAAATAAAGTACTTGTATAGAAATATATGCACGCACAGTTTAGATGGAAGTTTCCAGAAAGATATGTACAAAATTACATTTACAGGTAAATGGTTACTGAGGGTTGTTGTTCTGTTACACCGTCGCTGGTTAAGTGTTCATCAGAGTGACAGCCAGGGGGGAGAACCTGTGAGCCTGCCCTCCATGGAGGGCAGGCACCAATGACTTTTTCTGCAGTCCTGACTGTCCGCTGAAGTCTGTACTTGTCCTGTTTGGTTGCTGAGCCAAACCAGACAGTGATGGAGGTGCAGAGGACAGACTCGATGATTCCTCTATAGAACTGTATCAGCAGCTCCTGGGGCAGGTCAAACTTCCAAACCTGTCAGAAAGATGACTACATCAGCAGCTCTCCTTCAGTCAGGGCTTTTTGTTAGTGACTTCAGACTTTTTGTCTGTACTGAGTTTTACTTTTATGTTGTGATTCTTTTTGTTGTCTGCACCTTGACCTTTCTCCCTCTGTGTTCCTCCTCAGCTCCTCCTGAGTTTGTGCAGTGGCCACAGTCTGTGTCCAAACCAGCAGGGGGCAGTGCTGTGTTCATCTGTGTGGCCAAGGGCGTCCCAGAGCCTCACCTCATCTGGCTGAAGAACGGCAAGGTTCTGATGCCTGGACACAACATCAGACTGACCAACCACAACAGGTACGTGATAGCAGTGAAGTACATGTATTACTTTATTTAATTTGCTACATAATGATGATAAGAATGATTTCAGTTTTTTTGGATCTTAGCTTGAGCAGAGTTCCCTGGAGACTTCCCTCTTACATGTCATTAATTCAGATTAAGACCCCAAATCCTCCTGAACAATAACAACCTGTAGTTATAGGCAGCTCCCTCCTTATACTTTCAGATGTCACTCTACTGAGGGGTTTTTGGTTTTCTGCTGACCATGCTCGTTTTTCCATGCAGTCATTTTATTGTGCTGTGTGGTAGACGTGAGTAGCAGTGAACTGATGCAACTGTGTTGTCTGTACAGCACTCTGGCTCTGACTCGTATCAGCTCAGAGGATGAGGCCATCTACCAGTGCATCGCCGAGAACAGTGCCGGCACCAACCAGGCCAGCGCCCGTCTGGCTGTGGCCCAAGCTAAAGACCTGCCTGCCGCCCCTCAGGGCCTCACAGCCAGCGTCCTGTCCACCAATGCCCTGCAGATTGCATGGAGCCCGCCAACCGCCGACATCAGTGACAGCATCATTGGATATGTACTGGCCATCCGTAAGATAGGAGGTGAGTGTTAGGGTGCACGCACACTCAGTTTCTGCTGCAGAGGGTTACCATCTGTACTTGTTCTAATAGTAACTAAATCTAACTGTGTGTGTGTGAATCAGAGCCTGACAGTCTGGAGCTGCAGGAAGCCATCAGTAAAGGCAGTTTCCAGCATGATGTGACCAACCTGGAACCAGCCACCACCTACTCCCTCTACCTGAAGGCCTACTCTCCTCTGGGAGCCAGTGAGCCATCCCTCACTGTAGTGGCTACAACACTAGGGGGCGGTAAGAACATGAAACGCTGACCAGATCCATTTTTCTGATTATTTGCTATCAGCAGATGAGTGAAAATAGTTTTGTTTTTGTTTTGTTTTTTACAGTAGGGTCAAAGATGTAAAATAGTCAAATGATTGAAATGTCTGGTGTTAGACATTAGACGTCCTGGAGAAGTACATATCCTGACATGTTTGACAGCAGTACAGTATAGATTATGTTTGCACAGGCTGGACAAAATTCAGACTCACACACTACAGGATGTTGTGGGGCAGTTAACTTAACTGAAGCTGAGGTGATGCTTTGCTATCTAACTGCATGTAACAAAGCAATTATGGATAAGTAACGTAGTTAAGAGTCAATATTTACTTAGTAATAGAGAATGAGGTATATTGTAAAAATGTTTTTTGTACCAGTAATTATTGTTATCATTAGTAGTAGTAGTATTTCTGTAGTTGCCCCCCTTTGTACTTTTTTTTTCCAGGAGTCTTTCTTGATCACCCTTCCTGTCAGCTGCTGCTGTGACTACAGTTGATTCTTCTTTCTCTCCTTGCTGGACAGTTTCTGCTCTCTCTAATACTTTAGTTTATCTCCGATTGCTCTCCTTTTTCTGTCTCTGCTCTGTATCTAGTGCCAGCCCCTCCCACCTTCTTCACCAAGGTAGTGAACTCCAGCACCATGCAGGTCCTCTGGGAGCTGCCCAGTAAGGCTGGCAAGGCTGAGGGCTTCAGGCTGTCCTACCGCAGGGTGCCCCACACCGACTTCCAGGGGTCTGTCCAGCTGCCCTGCCACATCAATGCCCACACCGTTTATAATCTGGGTGAGCGTGGACATGTATGGCTGTCTTTGTGTGGACTAATTTGGGTTTTAGAGTAAGGACATTTTTGAAAAATGAGGGCATCAAAGGGCTGTTTGAGGGTCCAGGTTTACATCGGATGTAAACATTGGGTGTAAGGTTTGGGGCTGGACAGTTGTAATAGCTGAGGTTAGGGTAAATGGTTAGGCGGTGCCTTACAGTATGTCAGTGAGTGTCCTCATAAAGCTGTGCTTCAGGAGTGGAGGGCGTGTCGTTCCCCAACCTTCTCACACATTGATTCCAGTCATGCATAAAAACGAACCCTCATCATGCTTTACTGCGACTTTGGCTGTTTGTGGTGTGTCTGTTATAGTTGCACCAAGGTAGATGTGAAGTAGGTGGAACCAACAAGATCCTGTGCTGCGGAATTAAATAAAGACATGGTCTACAGTAGGTTTTTCTGACTGTTGCATTGATTATTAAACTGTGAAAATAAAATGATCAAATTGTAAATGGTTTATTTATATTTATTTTTATGCCAGTCAGTGAGTCAGTTTCCCTCCAACCCACATCTCAGCACCACCAACACAATGTCCAGTGTGTAGATTTTTAAAGCAAGGGTAACTGAGTATGACTGTGCTTAAACAGAACACACAAACTATCCTACTTTACAAGCATTGTCAAACTCCTGACTGACTGTGTGGGTCCCTCTCTTTCAGAACCAGGTGCAGTGTATGAGGTCAAACTGGTGGCCTACAATGGAAACGGGGAGAGTGACTGCTCCAAGCGGCTGGTGTCGCTGGCAGAGGAAGGCATGAGTGAGCAAAGTACTGGTGAGCATGTGTCCTGCAACAGCTGACTCCACCTGTGACCGTTGTGAAAAAGTGCCAAGTCCTAGGAAGGAAGGGATTTCACAAATGAATATGTAAAATACTGTGGAAAATGTGTGTGCCGGAGCATGAGGATGTTCCTCAATAGTGCTGTGTTGGTTTCCAGGCGGCAACAGTCTGTGTCAGTGCAGAGATGGAGAGGCCTCTCTGGGGAGCATTGTCATTGGCATCCATATTGGCACTGCCTGCATCATCTTCTGTGTTCTCTTCCTCATATTTGGATACCGTTGCAGGTAAGTGCCACTGCACTGTACATTCTTTTTACTAGCATATTATATATTATCAGTCAAATATAGTCCAGTAGACTATAGTATGCACCCTACTTTGTGATGCAGATACCTGAACCAGTCTAGTTCATCAGTTGTTCTCTAGCTATGCTAATGTAAAGTTGTACAGAATATGTACTCATGGCTGGAACCTGCTGGCAGCCTGTTTTGCAGTAAAGGGACTCAGGACAGCTGGTCTGTTCCGAGGGACAACACAAGACACAATGGCAACCCTAAAGATGGAGTACACCCCCCAAGGATACAGTCAGCAGCTCAGGTAGTCACTCAGAATGTGCTGGTCACAGCTTGTTCAACCGATTCACCGATTAAGTTAAATGTAGCTTAGATGTGCTCTAGTGTAAAATCACTGCAGGCACACTGCAATGTGCACGTAATCAGGGTTTTGGCTGCACATATGCAGTTGCATTGTTTATAATTACTCAGTCATTACAGTCACTTGCTAATTAGCTAACAAGCTCAGCAGAAAGTTGTGAGTCAGTACCATGAATGTGAAGGACCATCTTGGATAACTGGCTACAGCAGATAATTTAGTAAAGCAAGACTAAATGTTTCCGTTTCACTGTACTGGGCCTCAGCCCATAGTCCTGTTGGACCCTGAGGGCTCAGTAGCCAAGATCCAACTGGTGTCCAGACAGTAGCCTTACATCAGTGTCAAAACCTTTCTATTGCATCTTTTTCAGCTCTAATTCATGACATTTATCCATAATATGTAATTTATTCAAACTCCAATTTACTCATTTCTGCCAGTACATTGATCAGTATCTGACATTTTAAGCAGCTGCCAATGTTTGGAATTTCATCCATCCATCATTTCCTTTGTTGGCAAACACTGACCTACTGAAGTACTGGAGGGAGCCTGGTGCTGTTATTTATCTTTCTGTAACACACTGATATGACCTGACTATTGAAGCAGGACCATAGATTTGTTCTGTGTCTATGACATGCCTAGCACTATTTTGCCCACTGTATATACAACTGATTTATTGCAACAGTGTTTTGGGCCTAGTTTTTCTTGTGATTACTTTGGTATACTGCTTGATTATGTATAATTTCATACGTAAATGATTGCTCATCTTTCTTCTTCTTCTTCTTGTGTCCCTCCTGTCCTGTCCTGTCCACTCTTCCTGTGAGCAGGTGGTCTGTCCAGCACAATGCCAAGTTGTCATTGAGCAGCTCTCATCGGGTTTGCCTGGCACGGGCACTGGCTAACACTGGCTTATAATATCAGCACCTACATCCCTGCCCTCCCCTCCAGTAGTCCGTGACTCACTCGAGTAAAAACCCGAGTCTCCCAGTCAGTGAGCACCTTCTTTGTTCACAGATTGGATGCAGTCGTAGGTTTATTCACCCCAAAACCTACTGCTAATAACCCGACAGTAGCCTCCAGAAAATTATGACAAATTCATATAGAGCTACGTAGGTGACACCCTGGTTCTCTGCCACCTCGTCCACATCCTTCACCCCTACCTCAAACCAAAGCCTATTGCCTTTATTGCCTGTGCATGTGCACATGTACATGTAGAAAAAGCCTTCAATAGCATAGTCACTCCAGATTAGGTCCTGTCACATTCTTTGTGTGTACAACACAAATATTTGTGTCACATTTCTAGTGGGAGTCTGCTCCATAACCAAAATATTTTATTGCTCAGATCTCCACTGTTAAGCTGATGTGAAGATGTGCTCTGTAATCTTAAAACCCCATATTCTCACCTGACTGGGACATGCCAACTAATCTGTTGACGCTTGACTTTGCCTTTAGTTCCTCACAATAAGAAAGGGAAGAAACGGCGGCCTTTGCGAACGCCTTACAGAGATGAGAGTACGATTGGAAATGATTTCCTATCGCCATATGAGCCATTTAGAAGAACCACGTAAGCAGGCATTCTTTACTCAACTGTCCCTCACCCAAAAGCTAAGTACCTCCAAAGAAAGTTACTCAGTCTAACAAGAATGTCTAAGAAATTAAGGCCAATGATAGCCTGATGATGCTGTTTGTGCCGCACTACCTCAACCAAGAAACCCTTTCCCTTCAACAACTACTTCCTTGACCAGTGCCAGTACCAGTGTGCTGTGCATCCCGCCGACCGTGCCAGACCAGAGGGTGCTCACCAGGATGACTACCATGGAGAGTATAACTGTGGCAGATCCCGAATTCCACCGCCACAAGGCCCAGCCTTTACTGTACCAGAGATCTGCTAAACTCCTGTTCAGACCAGCTCACCTTTTGTTTCCAGCAACTTTCATGGATTGGATTATATCAAGAAGGCAACATGGCGTTGTCTCCTTGATTATTGTTGCTCCATTATGTGGTTATCCATAGCTTTCAAATACCCACGCGTGTCCATCTCCAAAGACATACTTGTGCAGAGGATGTAGCTCATAGAAGATATGGACCGACGCGTGCTCTGTGAACCTTTCAGTACCGTGATTTCAAAATGATCTGTGAAGTTCAGATTAACAGGAGCAGTCTGCACAAACCTGATGGCATGTGGAGGACAAGCCAGAAAAAGGCTCTTTAAGGCTGTTGCTGCCAAGTTAACTCTCCAGATGCCAAATAGGTCACCCTGGGACCTCGACCATGCTGAGTTGGCAGCTAAAAAGTTTTAAAGTGATACTTGCCTAAATGCCAAGCTGTTGTTTCACCTAGTCAGCCTATCCAAAAAGTTCTTCTATGAAAACCAAGCTGAATGAGATCCAAAGATGTAAACATTTTGATGGTTTTCTTTACTGTATTTTCTTTGAGGAGAGATTACATTTACTTCAAATTGTGGATAGCTTCTATTTGAAAGGGGTGACCTGAGCATGAAGTGCTTTAACTGAATACAAGCCAAAAATGTTGCTTATGATTTCATTTTGTTTTGAGTAATATCTTTCATGTCCTAGAGTTTGGAAGTCATTTCAGGTGCCACCCCTTCAATATGAAACTGTACTTTGTTGATTCAAATATATAACTTTTTAAGAATGACCAAATGAAGATGTCAGATATTTTAACACTTTTTTGTTAATACTATAAGGAATACTTGCTTTTGATTTTAAAGTAGTTGAATTCTTGCCAAATATTTAGCTATCTTGAAGAAATATGTAACCAAATAGCTCTACATTTTAACATTCCCAGAGTTTGCCTTTACATGTCCTCATAACCAAAGCACAGAAACTGCTTGTGAGTGTCATAATAAATAAAGGAACCCTGAGGGCAGCAGCTTCAAGAAGGAAGCACAAGATTAAAAATGTTGCTTTTGACCCAACTTGTCCAAAAAGGACACAACTTAATCAAAAGTCCATCTGAAATTAAATTCTATGTTTGTCATTTTTAAGAAGAAAATAGCATTGAAAAAGGACCAGTTTGCATTTTAATGATTTGTTTGCACTGTTTTTGTACTGCCACAGTTTTATCATTGCCAGTAATAGCTACAGTAGATAAAATAAAGCCACATAGCAAATGCAAACGACCACAAGCTGGAACTGCACACTCAATAGCCTGGTATAGCAGTTTAAGAAACCTGCACAGTTTGAACAGCAGTTTGTTTATATGTTAAATGGTCTGTTCCTTTGTGTTCACCACTGCTAACAGCGTGCTATCTGCCTGTGGCCTATGAACTCATCTAAGACTGTTGGTGAGCGTCGTCACTCAGACATCAGACCGGCTACTCAGAGGCCTAATGAATATTTACAGTACGTGTCTTGAAACACCATTATGATTTCAGATGGACTTTAAATGGAAACAAGGTTTCAGTCACAGCTTTTCTTCTTATTACATGATTGGACTAAAACTGTATGTGTTGCCTCAGGTGTTTACTTCCAAGTGTTAAAGATTTACTCAAAGCAGATCAGTATAAAGATCTTCTCCTTGCTTACACAACTGCAAGCTGTAAAAGCAATACAATGCCAAAATGTATATTTGATGTGAAAGACCTAAAAAAGTTCATGTGTTTTTATACTGTGAAGTGTATAGTGGTTCAGCTAGTTTTTAAAATGGAAGATGTTTGTTGCTTCTGTTTGGAAGGATTCATTTCTCTGCCTCTCTTCATTTGAGTCTTTTGTTCTTCCTGCTGTGCACAGGAAAAGTTGCCAAAACTTTTTTTTGAAAGTGTATTATTGTTATTATTGTTAGAGCTGATGACTTTAATTATGATCATTTCAAATGTTTTCTTTTTTGACATGTAAGGATGACCTGAAAGTGTTTGTTAGGATGACTTTGTGATAGTCTTTGAGCAAGTGCTGTGAGTTTTTCAGAGACAGTAAATTTAAGACTGGAAATGTTTTTGAGCCCAAACTCACTCTGCCCCAAAGAACCAGCAACTAGAAGACAAAGAACTACAAAAAATAAAAAATAGTAATGTAGAACCTGGCTGATGGTTTCAGGAAGAAACAAGGCTTTAATTATGTGCTTTTCTGTTCCCTAAGTTTTCACTGTTGTATTGTAGCCAACTGTAAAGCTAAAGCTTTAACCTGTTGTGACCGAGGTCTCGTCCTTGGTCTTTGGCCAAAATGAAAGATTTGGAGGACAGACCACAGCTGGGCTGCACCTTGAGACACAGGCAGAGCTGTGACTTGCATGGTTTTCATGGCACATTTATTTTACGTGGTAACATTGTACATTCCACATCTAAAATCTTTAATGGTCAGTTCATGCAAATTACAAATAACATTCTTTTTTTTTTTATTTCAATCAAACTTTGTCATATCCCCAGTACAATGGAAGAGAACAGCACTCCTGGAGATTAAAATGAGACTATAACTCTAATAGAACCTTACACATGAGAAATAATACTTTGTCCCATGGCAAGTATAAGATTAATTTGTGACACACAGTGACATTCTTACTTCATCGCTATGAGCAGTGGTTAATATTGTAACTTTAGATACATGTTGTGTGTTTGGCATTACTTCCATCTCTGGTTGTGCTTCTGTAACACTGATGTAGCATCTTGTGACCAAGCTCCTCACCCTATCTCTAAGGGTGCGCCCGGCCGCCCTGCAGAGAAAGCTCATTTCGGCCGCCTGTATCC